TCTTTTTTTTTTTTCTTGTAACAGAAAATAAAATGAACGATAGCCTGGTGAGTGGCTGCTAAGTTTTTATTCCACACTCATCATTTTTAAATAGATCATTTTACAAGATCAAGTAAGGAACAAGTTAAATACTTAACTATACCATCATATGTAGAGGTTGTAACCAATATCAAATACAGTTATACAGTTATATTCTTATCTATATAACCACATGTGTGTAGAGACTGTAACCACTGTCTGTTTATCTTTTCAGATGCGGTTAACCACAACTTCCTTATCTCTGGCTGCAGATGCGTCACGACTTCCTTATCTCCAGCAGCAGATGCAGGGGGGTGGGAGGGTACCCCCAGGGGCCACGTAGGACCTGGAACCGGAAGAATGAATCTGATTGGATGGGGCGGGACTAAGGACCGGATAAACGATTCTGATTGGCTAGGAGGGGAGAAGGGGCGGGGCCACCTGTCAAATTAATTCTGATGAGAAGTGGTACCTTTACTGTGTGTGTCCTATAGTAGCAGGTATGTGGGACCATATATTTATTAAATCCAAGAAGTCTCCTCTAACCCACCCACAATAAATAGAGCTTTAGTTCTGTCATGAGATGCTTCTGCTACTTAGAAAGATAAGACTGTACACATTTATGAATCCAGGCTGAATAATGAGGTTTTTCTTTCAAAACTGCGACAGGAAACAGGTCAAATTTCAATAGCTACAGTTTTAAATAATAACTTATCAATGTCTCCATAAACTGTAGCAAACGAAAGTTTAAGCCAGCAGTTGTTGACATCCAGTAAGTGCTCTCATCTGTAGCTAATTTATGATAACAAGACAGCCAAACAACAATTTTCTCTTTAAATTCCCTGTTGAAAACTTTAAGTCCATCATGTCCTTGTTCTAACCTTAAAACCTCTAAGGTCGGATTTCCCGGATTCAGAGCTAGGATTGGTAAATGGAGGAACACTCTTGAATGTCATGATAATATTTGGATATTATTTAGGAATGCTAAGAATACCTTTGTATATTATTATAGACTATATGTGTTTACTTAGAAGTGGACTTCTTTTTCTGACTGGCTAAAAAAGAACCCTCTCAAAAACAAAGCAACAACAATATAGTTTTTCTGTTTCTATTGATGCTAAGTATAATAATATCTTGTTTAAAACTATGCAGACCACAAATACAAACCAATACAAATAGTTTAATTTACATAAAATAAAAGCAAATTTTAATTGCAATATTGGTCAAATATTTTCCTCTAATAATTCAACACTAAATGGCTTTTAGCTTTTCCTATTTAATATATTATCAGAAATACAAAAATGACAATGCTCCCCATTCGAGCCGCATAAAATCAAAATATTGTTTTTAATGAATTTTCTTTTTAGGCTTTAAGCATTAAAATCTAGAAAAAATGAAAATAGCATCGCTAATTGTTATCCACTGTATGGACAATTCAACCTTTACCAATCTCTGTGTCTTGCGGCATCTACAACTTTATATCTCATTTAAATTCTGTGTTAAATCATTGCACAAGGCACGTTGCCCATGACTAGATACGTGGGACTGTGGAAAATGACAAGCACACACAACGTTTAATACTAGAACACTGTTGGCATACTAACAAACCTTGACACAAAAGTTGAATGAAGGTCAGAAAATTAGCAAATGATTTTCTTCTCCCCTAAACAACATATTTAAATTCTCCCCAGACACCCTTATATGTTCTCTCTGTAACCCTTTTATTTGCAGCATCCTGGTCAAAAGCCTCATAGCGACACTGGAACAGTGCCTCACACAGAGGCTACACATACAGTACATGGCTTCAGAAAGTAATCCTTCTCTTAATTTCCGGCGCCGACAGTGATGGCGACCGAGGTTACTCGCACTCTCATGTGTTTGTTGTTATTCTTTGTTTTCTTGGTCTTGTGCAACTCATCCCGGATTACTTTTACCAGAGAAGAACTGTTAAATATCGGACAACTCACACCAAACTACCTTCCTCCAATTTTTGTGAACAAAGAATGCTGTATGGACATGATCGGAGGCGCAGCAGCAATATATGGGACCTGGAAAAAACGCAGCAGACATGGAAAACGCTCTGGCGCTTTGGTGCGGTTACGACAGAGGGGAACTCGGACCTCACTCCCATCTATTCGCCTGGCTAATCTCCGCTCCCTGGTCAACAAAATGGATGAAATTCTTCTCGTCAACAGGACTAACTCTGACTTTGCACGCTCTGCTGCTTTGTGCTTCACGGAGACCTGGCTCAGTGACCTGATCGCGGACAGCGCAATTCGAATACTGGTGTTCTGTCAGATTTTGCTATCTATCAAGACGTGCTACTCACCGTTCACAAAGTGGTTAGGGTTAGGGTGATGGATTGGGGCGGGGTTAGTCAGTCCATAGATTTTGCAACAAGGTAGTATATCTCGACAAGGTAGCAAAATCTGACAGAACACCGGGTTTCCAGGTGTTCAGAGCAGATCGTGTAAAGGAGCTGTCCGGGAAAACGAGAAGAGGTGGAATCTGCATCTACATAAATGAAGGTTGGTGCACAGATGTCAGTGCTACAGAGGACATGTACCGCAGACCTAGAGACTCTTGTTATCAACTGCAAACCCTTTTACTCTCCCCATGAATTCATCAGGTTCATGCTAATGGAAGTGTACATAACACCGCAGGCTAACGCTAGCACGCTACGGCTCCTAGCAGAACTGATAACTAGCCTGGAGGTAGAACATCCTGACTCTCCACTCATTGTTCTAGGGGACTTTAACAGAGCAAATCTCACTCACGAACTTCCCAAATACAGACAGCACAGAATGACACAGAATGAACACAATGTCCCACCAGGGACAAAGTCACACTAGACAACTGCTACACAACAATAAAAGACACCTATCACTCTGTCCCCCGCGCAGCCCTCAGACTCTCAGATCACTGTATGGTCCATCTTATTCCAACCCAACAACAACAACAACAACAACAACAACAAGCCCTGGTTTACAGCCAGACTCAAGCAGCTTTGTCATGCCAAAGAGGAGGCTTACAGAAGTGGGGACAGGACTCTGTACAGCCAGGCCAGGAACACACTGACAAGGGAGATCAGAGCAGCAAAGAGGAGCTACTCTGAAAAGCTGAAAGTTCAGGTTTCAGCCAACAACCCCTCATCGGTGTGGGGAAGCCTGAAAACCATCACTGGCTATAGAAAACCCTCCCCCCTGCTGTGGAGGACCATCAACTGGCAGACAACCTGAATGTATTCTACTGCAGGTTTGACAATCAACACTTCCCCCTCACCCTTTCCCACCTCAGACCCAGCAGCTGCTCCCCCAACAATCAACACCTTTCCCTCCAGCCCCCCACCTCTAACGATCTGTGAAAAGGATGTGTGTGGCCTCTTTAAAAGACAAAAGATCAGAAAGGCACCAGGCCCAGATGGTGTGACCCCCTCCTGCTTGAAAGTGTGCGCTGATCAGCTGGCCCCCATCTTGACACTCATCTTCAACAGGTCACTGGAGCTGTGTGAAGTCCCCTCCTGCTTCAAACACTCCACCATCATCCCAGTCCCAAAGAAAACCTCCATCAGTGGACTGAACGACTACAGACCTGTTGCCCTGAAATCTGTAGTTATGAAGTCCTTGAAAAGACTGGTGTTGGTCCACCTGAAGAACATTGTTGACCCCCTGCTGGACCCCCTGCAGTTTGCCTACCGGTCAAACAGGTCAGTGGACGATGCGGTGAACATGGCACTGCATTACATCCTGCAACACCTCGACTCTCCAGGGATGTACGCACGGGCCCTCTTTGTGGACTTCAGCTCAGCATTCAACACCATCATCCCGGACATCCTCCACTCCAAACTGACCCAGCTCACTGTGCCTGCCCCACCTGTCAGTGGATTACTAGCTTTCTGACAGACAGGAAGAAGCAAGTGAGGCTGGGGAAAACCACATCCAGCACCCGGACAATAAGCACAGGTGCCCCCCAGGGATGTGTTCTCTCCCCTCTGCTGTTTTCACTCTACACCAATGACTGCATCTCGAAGGATCCCTCTGTCAAGCTCCTAAAGTTTGCTGATGATACAACGGTCATTGGTCTCATCTGAGACGATGACGAGTCAGCCTACAGACAGGAGGTTGAGCAGCTGGTCCTGTGGTGTAGCCACAACAACCTGGAGCTGAACACGCTCAAAACAGTGGACTTTGGGAAGAGCCCTCCCACCTTACCCCCACTTACCATACTTGGCAGCACTGTATCAGCAGTAAAGTCCTACAAGTTCTTGGGCTCCACTGTCTCCCAGGACCTGAGGTGGACGTCCAACATCAGGACCATCATCAAGAAGGCACAGCAGAGGATGCACTTCCTGCACCAGCTCAGGAAGTTCGACCTCCATGGAGGACCTGTACACCTCATGGGTCAAAAGGAGGGTGGAGAGGATCACTGTTGACCCCTCACACCCTGGACACAATCTGTTTGAACTCCTCCCCTCTGGACGTTGTTACAGGTCACTGTGCACTAAGACAACCAGGCACAGGGACAGTTTCTTCCCCCAGGCTGTCGCTCTGATGAATACTTAACCCACGACAGTATGATTAGACAATAACCCTCAGTGCAATACCTGTGTATATATACATTGTACAGATTATACAGAGTCATAGAGGTCTCTAGCTTTAAGTACTTTGTTTTTATCCCTATGTATCTCATTTCAGTGAACTTTCCTTTGTTGTCTGCATTGTTTACTGTCTGTTTATACTGCTTTTTCTGCATTGTTTGCACTGTTTGTTGATGTTAATACTGCTTATTTTGTTATATTACACAGCCTTATGCTGGTTTACTGTTTTGCACATTGAGAGCCGATGTACCTGAGTCAAATTCCTCGTGTGTCTGTCACACCTGGCCAATAAAACTGATTCTGATTCTGATTCTTTACTGTGTTGTAGATTTATACCTAATAACCCATAATGACAAAGACAAAATGTGCTTTTATAAATTTTTGCATGTTTATTAAAAATCTAAAGTTGAAATCTCTCATTTGCAAAGCTATCCAGGCCTTCTGGTGTGGCACTCCAAACTGTGCTTCCTGTGTGAAATTATTATCTTTGAAGTGTGTCTAGAATTAGACTAGACTCCACCGAGCATCTGTGGAGAGACCTGAAGACAGCAGTTCACAGATACTGGCCATCTAACCTGACAGAGTTTGGGAGAAATCACCAGTAAAAATAGGATAAACAGCCCAAATTCAGGCCCAGAAGACTGCAAAACTCCAAGCTGTAACTGCTGCCAAAGATCTTCTACAAAAAACCACATGAATGGTCTGGAAACATAATTTATTCAAACAAAATGAAATTTTGAAAATACTAAAACCATATTTTCACTCAGTCATTATGGGTTATAAAGTGTACATTGATGGGGAAAACTTGCAGGTTTAATCGTTAAAAATTAAATCTACAACACAATAAAGTGTGTAAAAAGTGAAGGGTTCTGGTTACACTCTGAAGCCACTACTTCTGAAAATGGCAGCTGGAACTTGGCAGATTCCCTGTTGGCTTATTTTCTTCAGACGTGTTAATTGCGCTGGTAAGTGTTGTGTCAGTTTTTATTATTTTGTATTAACTGAGCTGTTGTAATTCCAACTTATCCTAAACCTTCACTATTTTGGTTTATTCCTACATTGTACTCACTACGTTTTTTTGATAGAACCTATAATAATGCGCTGTCACCTGTAGATGGTCAGACAGGTTTTAAACAAATCCTCAGGGTCAGGGTTTGGCCCTGGGCCTATCTAACCTAAGTACATACCTATCTTCACTGTTGTTTTTCAGAAGGACTGGAGAGACTCGGGTGAATGATTTACTATAGGGCAGGATGAAGAGGTGAAAGGTGTTGCTGACCTTGATGATATGCTTTAAATAAATTAGCTAAACTGGCTTGTTTATAAGTTGTCTAATCATCTGATCTATGTGTTTTGCTTTGTTGGACCAGATTTAAGCAATTAAGTACAGTTTTACCATAAATGATGAGAATCAGTACTTAAAGCCAAGCTGTAATAAATTGGAATGATCCATTAATTAACTGAGAAAACATCCAGCTTGAAGTTAAAATTACTCAGTAGATTCTTTTTGTGCTTTAAATCCAGGTCTACAATGACTTTGTTGAAGTAATTACTATCATCACATGTTCTCTGTTCAAATAATCCCTGTCCCATTGTGATTAATTGTTTAGCGAAGGGGCCAGAACCTCCAGTGTCAGTTCATATACAGCTTCTTTCATCCAAAAAGTCTCTGTCTTTCTGAAGAGGTAGGACTATTTTGTTGGCAACACAATGATTTTCAGCTGTCTTATTTATTTTCCTCTTTATTTTTGGCAATGCAGGGATGAGCCTCTGCCCATCCAAACAATGACATTCAGTCTTTACTGGTGGCTCATGGGAAATGCATAGCAGCAGCAACCACAGCAGTAAGACAGGACAGAGAAGAGTGTTCAAGTGTTTCCAGTGTTTCGCCACTTTGTCTTCTTGTTTCACTTATCTGCTCCCTTGTCCCTCATGCACTGATTTCAAATTTCATGATAATTTATCCATCCAGTTATGCATCAAGCCAATCCATCCATCCATTCAGCCTAATAATCCTCTTTTTCTTTCTATGGGGTGTGTGCCGTCACAGGAGCATTCGATCACGAATCATGTCATGGTCAGGAGGCATCAAAACTGAAAGACAAGAAGGAAGGAGACAGCAATAAAAGCATGTGGATGCATCTCTCTTTCTCTCTGTGTGTGTAAAGCCTGTGCTCAGCAGAAAGCAGGAAACTCTCTCCAGGTAAAGATGGAGGCTGATTTATTCAGCCATTAAGAACTACTTCATCATTTAATATTTGCCCAGCACCTACTCTTATGGAAGACTTGAAATTTCTAATTGAAAACAAATCAAATACAGAAATAAAATAATATACAACTCAGGCAGACTGGACGTTTTGGCTATTATATTTATAAATAAATAAAGAAAACCTAAAGATGCTTTTATTTTCAAAAATGTAACTTTGTTGCCTATTTAGTTTTTACTATTAAGTACAGTATATGGAAGATACTGTAGCATCAGACAGAGTGGACACGTAGATGAAACCATCCAGTGCTACTTGGGTACATTCTCCATCATCAAGTGTTAGCAGAGATGTTAGACCAACGGTGTAGTTACTTGGACAAATGGTAATTTTCTTCCTCAGATGAGAAAAAACATCCTATTGTCAGAACAATGCTGTTTGGTGTTAATATAGTGCCTTATTCACAAATCAAAAGCTGCCTCTGTCGTTTTCCATCCAGCCACCAGAAGTCCCTAGACTTTTCCCTTGTTGTCAACCCCCTGACTCCGTCCTCCTCACCTGTTTCCACTCCAATCCATTGAGCTCCAGTATATACAGTATACCATTCTGTTTCCCCCTTGTCCTCCGCCAGGTCATCTGTTGAGCTTTGATGCCATAGTGTTCCAACCAGCCCAGTTTTGAATTCTTAACCTGTTTTGGATTGCCTGGTTCTGGGTTACTGCCTTTTTGGTTACTTGGACCTTGCTTTTTGTCTGTTCCCTTTAGACTGTACGAGCAAGGTCTCGCAATATGAGTAGTACGTATGCTTTGTCTGCCGAGCGTCACATGACATATATCACAACTGAGCCAATGGTTCTCAGGCTTCACTTGTATAATCAGTATCTGTACTGCAACAATGGCCCCTCACGCCAGCTACGATTCTTTTCAAAGGTCAAGTGCAGGTTAATTTGTTTTATTTTTACTGTATACTGTATTTTGTATTACTATAATAATTTTTATATGGATAAGTGGGTGTGGAACGAATCATCTGAGTTTCTATTATTTCTTATGGGGAAATTCGCTTTGATATATGAGTGCTTTGGCTTACGAGCACGTTGCCGGAACAAATTATACTCGCAATCCAAGGTTCCACTGTACCTGTTTCCTAACTGCCTGACTTTGCCTCTTGTTTATTCCCTGGAACCTTTGTTTTCTTGTCTGCCAGCCTCTGATTGTTACAGGTTCCTGCCTTCACATCCTATATTCACAGCCTGGTTTTGTTCATTTGGACTTTCCCTGTACTTTGGTCCTATTTTCATACTAATTGTGACAGAATTGCTGAGTTCCTGCCCTGAGTGAACCCCAGCTCCCTATAATATGAAATCTAATTTCTATAAACTTTAAGGCTAATTCTGCTTTTATTAGTGTAAATTTTTTTGTTCTTTTTTTTGTTTCCGTTTCCACCTCCGCGCAGCTCTAGCTCTATTTGTGCTTTTTTTTTTAAAGAGTTTTCTAGGTTTTCTGTGTTGCTTTTTGTGCTATGTCGCTTTTCTGTAAACTTTTGGGGAGTTGGGCTACCAGGAATACAAGTTTTATTGTGTTTGCATTATGTTTTTATACTTTTTACAAGGTTTTGAGTCTGCCTGGGGAGGACCCTGTTGCCAACAGTCGGCCATCAATGCCAGCAATCCTTCCGAGCTCCTTGTGGTGAGCTGCCAGGGATTTTTTACGGGGATGCGAGGTGGTGCGAGAGGTGGGACTGCGGGGCTGGAGTGAGGCGCTGGGGGAGGAAACAGAGGTATGGGCCATGTTCGCCTTCGGTCCGCTCCTCTCCGAGATGAGTGGACGGGCTAACCATGCTGGCGGAGCTACAACGGGGGTACGAAAAGAGCGGCCCTCCGTGCTTCACCGAGAGTCCTGGATCTGTGGTCTGTGGTGATGGTTCATCACAAATCCCCAGGCCGGCTCTGGTGCTACGTGCAGGAGCACGCGCAAAACGCGGTGTCTCAGCGGCGGACACAATACCGGCAGGCCCAAATCCTCATCTTGAGGACATTAAACCATGCTTCCCCCTCCCCCCCTCTCTGCCACCCTTCCACACAAAGAGCAATAAAACTCTAGACCTACTGTAGGCTAATGCCTGTTGTTTGGTCTCTACTGCTGTTCCTGATTCTCTCCAGTGCTGCTTTGCCCTGTTTTTAGGTGCCTTTAATTTGCTTATTTGTGCTGTGTAAAAAGTAACATTTCTGATGATGTTACTTTCATAGTCCTTGTGTGTATGGGTTCTACTGCTTTGTTGCCTTTATGTAACTTTTTATTTTAAGACTAAGTGTTCTTTGTTACTACGTACTTACGTACGCATGCGCCGCGCAGAGTGGCAGCAAGTTACAGCAGCTGTGTCCTCGTATTCTTTTCCGTGTTTTTATGAATTACTGTTCTTATGGTGGTGTCTGTTCTTATGGTGTTATGTTGGTTGTTCTCTATTGCTGCTTTAACACAGAAATTTCCCAACTGTGGGATCAGCAAAGTACCTACTCTACTCTACTCTACTCTACTCTTATTACTTGATCAAATTTATAGGCCTGGTATTGTGGAAAAAGTGGAGTAAAGCTGGGAGAATCTGGACAAATGACTCCAACGGGACTTTATTTCATTAATCTGCTGATTTCTTGATTGATTAATTTTACACAAGTCATAAAGTCATCCCAAAAGTAATCAGTATTTTTGATTAACAGTGGGTCAAATGACAATATGGGAAATGAAAATATCACTGGAATCGATAAATCCTCAAAGAATTCTTTCTTAACATTGCAGTTTCCTTCAGTTGTACTCACTGCTTTAGCACCTATCAGCTCATTGTTTTGGTTTTCCAGCCCACAGGCTGCTCTCATCAACTTTGTTTTCAGTCAAAGCAGGCAGATGTTTTCATAAAGAAAAAACTGGCAAAACCATTGTATGTTAGCTGCTCAGCATCAGGCAGACAAAGTTAACAGCTAGTATATGGACAGAGTAGAGTATTTCATGGCTAAAGAAATGCTCCTAAAAACTTTATTTCTAAAATTCTGGAAAAAGCTGTTGCTAAGCAGTTATGTGACCACTTGCACAAGAATGATTTGTTTGAGGATTTTCAGTCAGGATTTAGAGTCCATCATAGTACAGAAACCGCATTGGTGAAAGTCACCAATGATCTTCTCCTAGCCTCGGACAAAGGACTTGTCTCCATACTTGTCCTCTTAGATCTCAGTGCTGCTTTTGACACCACTGATCACAGCATCTTACTGCAGAGACTTGAACATGTTATTGGGATTAAAGGAACTGCACGAAGTTGGTTCAAATCTTATTTATCAGAAAGATTTCAATTTGTTCATGTCAATGACAAATGTTCCACACAAACTGACGTTAGTCACAGCGTTCCACAGGGCTCTGTGTTAGGCCCAATTCTCTTCACTTTATACATGATCCCTTTAGGCAATATTATCAGGAAGCACAACATAAATTTCCATTGCTATGCAGATGATACTCAGTTATATTTATCTATGAAGCCAAATGAATCAGGTCAGCTGGTCAAACTTCAAGCATGTCTTAAAGACATAAAGGCCTGGATGACCTGCAACTTCTTACTTCTAAACTCTGACAAAACTGAAGTCATTGTGCTTGGGCCTGAAAACCTTAGAAATCTGCTGTCTAATCATATAGTTACTTTAGATGACATAGCTCTCACCTCCAGTACTACTGTGAGGAACCTTGGAGTCATCTTTGACCAGAATATGTCCTTTAAAT